AATGTCTTTGAAGTTCACCTGTGCTGGGAGGTATTTCTCACCTTTTGTCACGGCAAAATGCTCCAGGCTCATCTTATACCGACTGTCCCTTCTCTGGAATCAGCAATTTCTTTAAGAAGCCCTGATTCCTTCACTGAGGAATGGTATTCAGAAATCAGCATCTGGGCACCAGGTGTGCTGATTGCTACTCGGTTATCATTGCTTCTAGGTTCTTTCAGTGGATAAAGGAAGAAAATTCTGTGTGTGTGTATGTTTGTATGATGTGTGTGTATAAAATATTCCACAGTTTAAATTGATACTTCCAAATTCAGTATCACACCCAAAAAGACATGTGACTAATGTTCCAGTAGTGAGAAATACAATTAGGCCTGGCGTGGCAGCTCACACCTGTAATCCCAGCACTTTGGGAGGCCGAGGTGGGCTGATTGCTTGAGGTCAGGAGTTCCAGACCAGCCTGGTCAACATGGCAAAGCCTAAATACAAAAATACAAAAAAAAAAAAAAAAAAAAAATTACAAAAGTACAAAAAAAGCTAAAATACAAACGAATGAACAAAAAAAGCCAGGCGTGGTGGCACATGCCTGTAATCTCAGCTACTGAGGAGGCTGAGGCACAAGAATCATTTGAACCTGGGAGGCAGAGGTTGCACTGAGCCGAGATCGTGCCACTGCACTTCAGCCTGGGTTTCAGAGAGAAACTCTGTCTCAAAAAAAACCAAAACAATCCAGAACACTGGAAACAAGCAAGCAAGGGACAAAGGAGAGATAGGATACATGGAAAAACAGAAAACAGAAAGGTGAGGCCAGTGTGGTGGCTCATGCCTGTAATCCCAGCACTTTGGGAGGCTGAGGTAGGTGGATCACGAGGTCAAGAGATCGAAACCATCCTGGCCAACATGGTGAAACCCCTTCTCTACTAAAAATACAAAAATTAGCCAGGTGTAGTGGCGGGCACCTGTAGTCCCAGCTACTCAGGAGGCTGAGGCAGGAGAATTGCTTGAACCTCCTGGGAGGCAGAGGTTGTGGTGAGCCACCGCACTCCAGCCTGGCAACAGAGTAAGACTTGGTCTCAAACAAAAAACAAGGTGGTAAATCAACTATATTGATAATCACATTAAATATAAATGGTTTAAATACTCTAATTAAGAGTCAGAGATTGTCAGACTGTATAAAAAAACACCCATTCCCATTTTCTTTTTTTTTTTTTGAGATGGATTTTCCCTCATTTCCCAGGCTGGAGTGCAATGGCACTATCTCAGCTCACCACAACCTCTGCCTCCTGGGTTCAAGCGATTCTCCTGCCTCAGCCTCCCAAGTAGCTGGGATTATAGGCATGTGCCACCACACCTGGCTAATTTTGTATTTTTAGTAGAGACGAGGTTTCTCCACGTTGGTCAGGCTGGTCTCCAACTCCCAACTTCAGGTGATCCACCCGACTCGGCCTCCCAAAGTTCTGGGATTACAGGTGTGAGCCACCGCTCCCAGCCATGAAATCCATTTTATTTAATTTTACTTTTTTGAGATGGAGTCTCACTCTGTCACCCAGGCTAGGATGCAGCAGCTTGATCTTGGCTCACTGCAACCTCTGCCTCCCAGGTTCAAGTGATTCTCCTGCCTCAGCCTCCCAGTTTGCTGGGATTACAGGCATGCACCACCATGCCCGGCTAATTTTTGTATTTTTAGTAGAGACGAAGTTTCACCACGTTGGTCAGGCTGGTCTCCAACTGCTGACCTCACGATCCGCCTGCCTCAACCTCCCAAGGTACTGGCATTACAGGTGTGAGCCACCGTGCCCTGTAATTTTTGTATTTTTAGTAGGGACGGTGTTTTGCTATGTTGACTAGGCTGGTCTTGAACTCCTGACAGGTGATCCACCTGCCTCAGCCTCCCAAAGAGCTAGGACTGGAAGCATGAGCCACCGCATCTGGCCAACTCTATTTCTTAATCCACTAAAAGGCCTTAATAATTATCCAAATACAGGCTGAATCAGGGACACAGCTTTGACCTTTGTGATTTCAGGTGGTTATCTCAGGTCCAGAGAGGCCAGGATGGAAACCCAGCTCAGAAAGGTCTGCCATGGGCAGAGCCCCCGCCCCGGGCACAGGTGCCCTCATCCTGTTCTAGCCATTTTCTGTTCTGGTCCAGGTCACAAAGCCACTTGTCCCTGGGCCAGCACAGACTGACTGCTGGAGGTGGGGATCACCCGACCCCAGCAGAGAGAATGGCCCGGACGCCTGCCCAGCCCTTATCACTCCGCAGCACTGCTGGGACTCCCGCTCTTCTAGACAGGTGAGGGTGGCTCCAGCCCATCCTGGCGTCAGCTGGCCTGGCTCCCAGCCTGCACAGGACCAGCTTATCAGGCCCAGAACCTGTTGGAGGCCCCAGCCTGACCCCTGGGAGCCCGGTTGCCTTCCTCAACATCCAGCCCCAGGGGTGCCTTGGGGCCTCACCCATCGCCTATTCTCAGAACTAGCCGGCCTCCAGGCATCTGTCTGCTCTCAGTGTCCACTGTGGGACCCGGCCATCAAGTCCCACGGTGGCCAAGGGACACCGGTAGCTCCTCCTCCCGTCAGACCACCCCTTCTCACCACCCCCACCAAACCCTCAGGGCTTGAGGACGCACCTGGGGAGGCACTGGACTGCCCGGCCCCTCTCCAGGGGTGGGGAGCATTTTTCTCCTGCACCTTTGAGAAGCCACCTGGCCTGAAACAAACCCCGCCCTACCTCGGTGGAATCAGAGTCAGCTGCTATCCCCCCAGCCGAGGGCCAGCCCACCCATCGGAGGCCCGCCCACCCATCGGAGGCCCGCCCACCCATCGGAGGCCCGCCCTGGGTCAGGCAGCTCATCTCACCCAGGACACCCGAGCCCCAGCACGGGAGGCTGAAGGGGGAGGAAGGGGTCCCCCTCCTGGAAGTTTGCTGGAAACCCCGAGGGCGGGGGCGGCCTCCTTCAGCGGCCCGCCACCCACTGTGCAGGCCGCTCATCCTCAGGGACGCCCAGGAGTCCAGTCCCCCGGGCCAGCGGCGCTGAGGCGGAACGAGGCCCGACCTCACCCGTGGCCGGAAGGAGCCCTGCAGCGGGGTCCGCCCTGGGTGCCCACGCGCGAAGGTCTAATTCACACCGCCCTGCCCGTCACGCTGTGCAGGTGCAGAAGTGAGACCCCAGAGGGCGAGCGACCTGCCCACGGCCACACAGCCGGCCTACGGCAGGGGGGAAGGCGGCGGCGGCGAGCCTCGGGCTCCGAGACCGCGCGCCCTGGGCGGGACAACGGCCAGAGCCACGGCTAGCGCCGGCCGCAACCTCCCCGCTGCGCGTCCAGCCCCGTCGCCTCAGGTCGCCGCCGCCGCGTTCTTCCCTTCCGGGGCCGCAAGACGCCGCTGAGCGCAGGGCACGCACGCGCGCAGGGGGCGGGGCGTCGGCTCGGGGGCGGGGCCAGACCGGCGCAGACGGCGCACGGCGGCCTCGGCGGGCGGTGCGGAGGCGGGACGCCCGGAGGCCCCGCCCCCTCTGCCGGCGCGGCGCGGCCGAAGGCCGGCGTGGAGGCGGTGGCGGCTGACGGACGGGCTCGCGGCGGCAGCGGCGGGGCGCGGGCGGCCAATGAGGGCGGCCGGAGGGGGCGGGGCGGCGGCCGCGGTTTTGTTCCGCCGGGGCTGAGGCGCGTCGCCCTCGGCGGGGCCTGGGCGGTCGGCCCTCCTGTCGCTCCGCCGGCCTCGGCCGCGCTCAGGTACCGAGCCCGGGCGGAGCGCGCCGCCCATGCCTCAGCGCGGCGGCTGCGAGTGTTTCCCGCGGCACGCGGAGGGCGCGGGGCCCTGCGCTCCGGGCCGGGTGCGTGGACGACCCCGCCGGGCCCGAGCCCCCGCCGTGCGCGCCCGCGTCCGGGCGACTTCCCCGCACGAGGCGAGGCCCGGCCTGGTGGCGGCGCGCCGTGGTTCGGTGTCGCGAGAGGCGGGCGTCGCAGCGGTAAACGGGGCCTTGGGGCGTCCCGAGAGGGACCCGGCCGCGGGAGGCCGGACGTGCCCGGAGACCCGAGGAGGGGACTTGGGCGGACTCCGAGGCCGCTTTTTCTGCGTGGCCTGGAGGGTGTGAGCGGCCTCGAGCCTCCGGTGTGCGGGGGCGCCGGTGCCCGCCCGCGCCCCGCACCCCGCGCCCGCGCCCACGCCCCACGCCCCGCACCCCG